TGTACGGGATAATCTTGACCGAGGTCGGAATGCGCTCGGTCTATACCCGACCGAGGTCAAGATTATCCCGTACAGACCGACCAAGCTCGGTTGATAAGARTTTTATTATATGACCACTTTYCATTGAGAAGGACAAAATGTTTTCGCCGTAAGATTAATATGCGGTCGGACCGGTTAATACCGGAGAATCTAGACCAGTCCGCGATGCGATCTATCCAATCAGATTGCTCGATTTGCTAGTGTCCACCCTCTAAGATTCACGGTCATATAATAAAACAAACTACTAGAAATAATACAGTACAACAAACTACGGCAAGTGATAAAGTACAACTCAATACAACTAAAGAAAAAAGAACAAAAATGCAATGCCTATTTTAAGCTTATACTGTACATCAAAAAATGATTTAGGAAGCACAGATATAACTTTTGGTGTATATATCGGTACTTTTTATAATTCTCCTTCGAGTGCACTCGTTATTTTTTCCCATTTCTTACGATGTATTGCTCTTTCTTATTTTTTACTCTGGCAACTTTATGTTCAATATTTTCGTAATTTGGTAACATGTTTTGAAACAAGGAAAGAGAAGGAATTTTCATTCTCTCTATTCCCTTATGCAGAACTAGTTTGTAAATTAAAATAATAAAGTTCATTGGGATGTCATCCACCCCTAATAATATGTTTCTTTTATAAGATTGTGGCAAGTGAATGTCATATTTTTCTAATAAAATTGCAATTTGTTGCTCGTTTTTCATCACTCATGCAACTTGTCAYGCAACATTTTATGTGCAGAAGCGGCCGCCATTTTGAATTGTGTAGCTTGTAGCCAATCATCGTACAGAATACAACTTGCAACATTAGATTTTGTTGCGTGACAAGTTGGATAGATAGGATGTAAAACAACATTGTTTTCGAACTTGCACCGCAACCATGTTGCGCCACAAGTTGGACGTTTTYGTRTCTCGTATTTCAGCGCCTTAAAGTCGTTACTGWTTCTGAAGTCATTTATTTCAATTATTCATTGCAATTGCAGGCACAGAGCTGCATAATACTGAATTAGTTCGAAGATCAACAATAATTTGACCTAAGGAACCCCTTCAAAGTCAGACAAGTCCTCTACAATTTACCTGTCTAAAGGCTAGAGCTATCTAATACCAGCAATATTTCAGTCCTCAGGAACAGAAGAAGTAGGAGTAAAATGAGAAAATGGAGTACCTGATAATAAAATTTAGAGAAAAATGCAATTAAATGAGATTACCTGAGTTTAGTTATGGTATTAAAACTTTTTCTCAAATCATCATCTAGAAATAGTCTTCGAAAGGCAAAGTACATTTAAGAGTCACTGTACATGCAGTATACACAGGTGGGAAAATAGGAGTCTAGGAGAATAGGAGTGAACCATTTAACAAGATATGAAACAATATACATATTTCGTTTGGGGGCCCGGGGACGGGGGTGGAGTTGTGTTTGTTAGGAAACCAACATAATGTAAGTAAAAAATGAACTTTTACTTGGTATTGTCCCTTTTAAATAAGAACGATTTTGCTTACCAGTTACAATGACTTGAARGTAGTAAGGAACTTGGGCGCTTGAACCCTTTTCACGAATTAAGGCAATGTAGGTGTTTCAATCGTTGACATTTGCATTGGAAATATTGAACCATGCACGACCTGATGCGAGGTTTCCGTTATAATGAAGTCTCTTCTTTAGACTAGCGTCCAATGCAGRATTAATAACTGGAACGTCGGTATCATCGACATAGATATACTGTGGGTTAGCAGAGTTGCTACTACGAATACCCCAAACTGCTTCAAGAAGTTTTACATAGGTTTTTAGTGCCTGAAAGATGGTCTAAAAATGAATTTAGCCTCATAATCACAATCAGGATGAAGTTATTGGTATTCAAATTATTGTAATACATTTCAACTTAGCTTCGTTAGGTTTCTCGTTTTTATGGCCGTTTAAAAATCTAAGACTATATAGATGAGAATGAGATAATTATCTGTTTGAAAAAATTAATTCACAGA